GCGAAAAACGGGCCATTTTTGGAAGGTTTGCAGAATGCAAAAACTTTTTTCCCCCTTTTGGAAAGCTCTTTAACTGATTGATGAGAATTACATTGATCAAGTGCTGTGCCAGCAGAAATAAAGTCTTAGGTGCTGCAGATTGTCAGCAATTTCCTTCTCCAGCACATGGATAAATACACCTGGAAACATCTAACCTACCTACTCTCTCTCTCTACCTACCTACTGTAGTTCTCTAATTACCTACTGTAGTTCTCTCCCTCCCTCCCTCTATCTACCTACCTATTCATTCTCTCTCTCTCTCTCTCTCTCTCTCTCTCCCTACCTACCTACCTACTGTATTTCTCTCTCTTTCTCTCCTTCTATCCCTCTATCTACCTACCTACTTTTTTAAAAATTTGCCTCTTCAAAACCTTGGTGAGTCTTATACTCCAGTGGGTCTTATACTCCGAAAAATATGGTACCTTATGGAAAAATATTTACCTTAGCACAGTTTTCAATTGCATCCTGCCATTCCAATAATTTCAGTTTACATGCAGCAGTATTAAGATAACATGTTAATGCTACTGAATTCAGCTTTGTACTTTGTTCCTCTGCCACAGCTTTTGAAGCGTCAATGTACCTGTATAAAATAAGATGGGGATTTTACAGCACAGTAGTCCTCATTTAGCAACTACCTTGGATGTGACCATTCACACATACAACTGTAAAAAATCGTAGTTAAAAAAAAGGATATATGCATTTTCTGACCAACACATACACTTACTTCTAAATTTCTGCACCTGACAATAACACATGACAGTGAGATTAACACTGGCACTGCTTTATGAGTCAATTTTATCTAAATTAAATAGCAATCTTTACAGTGTCCCTTTTGTGACAATTTTGTCAGGATATAGTGTAGCTAAAAAGACTCCCTGTATAACTAATTTATCAACTAGCAATACTGAATCAATAATTTGCAAATTAAACCAGATTTAATAACTACAGATAGTCCTTGATTTATAACAGTTCATTTAGTGACCGAAGTTACAACAGCACTGAAAAAAGTGACATGACTTTTCAAAATTACAAACATTGCAGCATTCACATGATCACAATTCAGACACTTTGCAACTTATTTATGATGATTGCAATGTCCTGGGATCATGTGATCACCCTTTTGAGACCTTACGGCAAACAAAACCAATGGGCAAGCTAGAACTGTATTAATAACAACTTTAGTGATTTTCTTAACAACTGTGGCAAGAAATGGGGCAAGAACAAATTGCTCCCTTTCTTCTTTCTGTTGCTAAGCAAACCATTAACAAATGTTTTGCTTAGCAATGGAAATTTTGGACTCAATTTTGGTTGTACCTTGAAGACTACCAGTGTATATTAAATAACGTGCTTGCACAATATCCTGTGCCATTCAGCTAGTAAATATATGCAGTGTTATTTTAGTCCACATCCTGTATTTCCCAGTTGACAATTAAAGCATAGTTAGCATAGGATGGAATGACATTTGAAATCAGTAACTTTAAACATGAGCTAGTATTAACTGGAATTGTTTGATAGTCTAGATAAGACTCTTTACCAGAGGAAAGGTATCAATTCTGATTATTCTGATTAAGAAGCCATGCTACATCTGGATGAAACAGTAGTATGCATATTAACCAATCATTGTTAGAGTTTGGGTATGACCTGATTAAGTCAAGTTTCACTAAATATTAAAGCAAATCCTTAAGATGATTTAAATAGGACCTCAAAGTAAACAATTTAGTCTCGATTAAACTAGTTATCTTTCCCCACCCATCCTCTTTTATTGAATATAATTCACATAAGTTATAAAGAGAACCTTGAAATACAATGATTTTTTTAAAAAAATATAGTGATCAAATATTTCAATGTGCAAAGCAAGTGCATAATTTTTTTTACAAATAAACAGAGTCTGGATTTGGGGGAAATTTCCTTTAACTTTTTTACCTCTTTTAAACCCTTCCAACACTCTTTTTTCACATTTTTGCAGAAATTACTGATTTTTTATGGCATTATTTCAGGGATTATGAGGGCCATATGCTATCCACCAATCTATTAAAAATGGGAAAGGGCTACTTTATCTATTCACAATTTTACTTTCTAATTAAAAAAAAATGTGTGTACATGGCAAATTAACCTAGGGCTACCAAATCTGGACTGCAAAAATCTGGATGATCACTAGATGGCACCAAATAATTTAAATTTTCTATATTTCTTTGCTGCCTATCAGTAGTTATCAGATGTTTGCAGTTCAGACCTAAAAGCCCTTGGTAGAGTATATTTTTAAGGATAGTAAATAATTTTACCTCAAAGACTTGCTATATTTCTTGACTGCCATTGCCCAATTTTGTGATTTGAAGAAAGAATTGCCTATATTTTTTACATCTTCAGCTACAGTCACAATCTTGTCAACCTACAAAAAAGAAGCAAATGCACTGAGCATAGTAGCATATCACTTTATTTTCCTTCATAAAGAATTCTGGGAGAAAAACAGCTGGAAAGCAGTTTTCCACATGCTATTGAATATAGTGTTAAGAGTTGCAATGAAGCAACATGTCAGAAGTATAAATATAATACTCTATTTAGCTATAAAAGCTTGGGAATGTCAAGATAGAAAACAAGACAAGGAAAAATTTATATTACATGTTTTCTACTTTAAAAGATCAATAATATAATTTAAAGTGAACTTTTAACAAAACTTCTTTAATATTAATATAGGAAATAAATGAAACACTTACTTCCTTTAAATCTATGTCAGAATCTTCAGGAAAATCAGCATAAATATCTCCAGAACCATCCATGGGAGAGACTTCCCAGTTTTCCCCTTCTTTTAGCTCTCCACATTCTGCAATAATGCATAACTGTAGAAGAAATATATAAAATGCAAGTTTTTCAATGGCAACCTGTTTCACTTTTCAGAAAATACACCTGTCTTTTTTCCGAATGTTTTCAAAGCCTTGAACTTAGTGTTTTTCAACTTTACGTGAAAAGTAAAAATAATCATAACAGTCTTGAATGTTAGTAATTAAACTGCAACCTAACTATTTAGCCTAAGATGGGTAGGGAAAAAGCTATTAACATTTTAATTCTTGCTTTACTACCTATTGCAGCAACCCTAACCAACTTGTTCTATATGCTATGGTTGTAATTAAACATCTGAGGGGACCCAGCAAATATTTATTTGTTAAAATTATTCTATATATAAGTAGAAAAGATAATTACCATCAAAGCAAACAAATTTAATTACTGAATAATTTAATTCATATTTTTAAAAGGGATGATAACATATTTTAATTATCTTAAAATTTTATATGAAAAATATACCCCAACAATTTTAGCTTACCTTGACAGGTTTTTCTCCATTTACTTCAACATTTTCTAGAAGTTTTACGACACCCATGCCCTTGATCACTTGCCCAAAGACCACATGTTTCCCATCAAGATGAGGGGTGGGCACAGTTGTGATAAAGAACTGTGAACCATTTGTATTGCATCCTGCATTTGCCATGCTGAGCAAAGCTGGTTTATCATGCTAAACAAAACAGCAATATTGTTTTCATGAGAAAAATTCATTGGTAAATTGAAAATCGTATCTAAATTACTAATTTGCAATATTGTATATTTGGAAAACACAACTAAGAAAACCTTTCACCCAGTCAAAAAGTTGCATACACATATATAAAATTTATACATATACAACTAAGTTAAAGGTAGGAACATGAGATTGTGACATTTAAAAGACAAATATCTTCATATCTTAATATTTATGTAAGAATTTGAGATAAAATTAATTGAAATGCTCTCCTCACTTAATATAGTTGAAACTTTTTCTTTAGCAGAAACTGCCATTTACACTATAGAATTTATATATGTGTGTGTGTGTGTATGTATATATATATATGTGTGTATATATGTATACATGTGTGTGTGTGTGTGTGTGTGTGTGTATGTTGCATTTGTGCTGATAAAAATCCCAGTAGGGGTATGGCTAGCTGATGAGAGCTAAATAGCTTGAAATAGATCTATACTAGTCTCCCTTTATTTATTTATCAGCACAAATGCAACACAAATGTAACAAAGGCAACAGTAAAAATAACAGTAAAACAGTAAAAATAATGGCTTTCTGTCTGGATGGTCTCCTGAGGAGAGGTGATAGACAGAGAAAGGAAGCAGTATGCTTCCTCTCATATTTGGGCGTACCAGGCATTGTGACATAATACATACATACATACACATACATAAATATGCTGTATGTTGATAAAACTAAAAGTGTTTATACTTTGGATTTTCTTAGAATAAGAGTTAGCACTCAAGTGATTCCTTTTCAGAAATCCCATTATCCTTACATGAAAGGTGGCATTTAAGCAGATCATGAAAGGAAAGTTGTGATCCCCAAATCTGCTCCAAGGAAAAACAGAGTGTGGTGTAAATGAATTTATTTAATTATTTCTTCCTTTTATTTTAATAAAAATCTTCTTAAAGCAGATTTGGAAAAAAGAACAAAAACTTTGGAAGGTATGAGGAGCTCTGCTTCTCCCTGATTTCTACCTTTTTGAAAGGCTTTAAATATAGTGCTTGATTTTCCTTCAGATACAGAATTCATTAGCAGAATTGTGACCACTGGAAATTTAAATTATAAAACCTATTACCTTATAATGAAAATTTTCATCTTCAAACTTTTCTCCATATATACTTTCTCCACCTGTTCCATTCTGATTTGAAAAATCTCCACCCTGGATCATAAATTCCTTGATAACTACAATTGAACCAAAGTGAAAAAGCTGAAACAGATCTCAATTATCTAAAATCAACTGTCTTTTTTCCATCACTGGCTGTTTTTTTTTAAATCTCTCTCTGCAAATCAGCATTTTAGCAAACTAAATTGATAAGAGGTATGAAAACGTTCTAAGCATGAAACAAAATTGAGAGGAACAAAATACACTGCATTTCAAACAGTATTTTTAGTGTTCTGATCATAGGGAACAACTCTGAAATAAGCTATTCCAAGATCAAAACAAAATACTCATGCTCCCGAAATTTTGTTTTGAGGGTGAATTATATCAATTGTAGTTAGCGCTTGTCTTTATGCAAACGCACCTAATTCTATTTTTGTCTAATTTCCAATTAGTTCCTTTCATCTCTACCTAAACACTCAAGTGTTAAGGGGCTCCCAAACCAAAAATATGCTCTGCAGCATTATAACACCAGGAACAGTCTTGCATTGAGCAACTTTTAATTGCTTTTCAGTAACTCAATATTTTAATGGATACAAACAAGGAACTGTCATTTCTCTATTGTTTTCTTAAAATTTTAAATCTTAAAAAGTGTATGCCATCAGTTTTCTTTTACATTAAAATAAGACACCAACACCAGTGCTTCGGCTATCCCAAATTCTAATACAAGACTCTAGAATCAAGGTACAATGGTGCTAGGCAAATTTTTGGCTGTAGTTAGATGTAGAAAGAAACTAATTGATGAAGGACTTGTTTCTCATGAAATGTATGCTGATTTGTTTTTATCATATTTATTCTTGAATGCTTTGACTGTAGTAATGTTTCATTCACTCATACAAGAATAAGTACTTACTTCTATGGAAAGGACATCCTTTATAATGAAGAGGTTTTCCAGTTGTAGGCCCAATACCTTTTTCTCCAGTACACAATGCACGGAAGTTCTCTGCAGTTTTAGGTACAATATCTGCAAACAGTTCGAATACCATTCGACCAACTGGAATGAGAAAAATCTGTAGCTGTATTTATTTTAGCAATGTGTATCCCACCATTCTTTCAATAAATCTAGGACTCAATTCATCACTGAATTCTGCCAGTATTAAGACAACTTTAATTGTATAAAGAGTTCTTTAATTCTGATGTTCCACCTGCCAATCAAATATTTAATTATTATTCCAGATCAAGCAATGCAGCTTTTCAGTATATGTCAGACTATAACTCTAGTTTTATCTACATTCAAATACACATCATCTAAAATCCATTCAGTTGCCACTAGATTTCGGTAATAACCAGTCTACTGTTGATAACTTCTATTACCATTATGGATAAAAACCTGACCAGCACCAAATATTAGACACTCTTCGTCTTATAACCATGTGTTTAGCAAACCTTCAGTTACAATGGCACAGAAAAAAGTAACATACAACTGGTTCTTGCACTTAGGATTGTAATAGCATTCCTGCAGTCATGTGATCAAAATTTGGACCCTCGGAAATTAATTATGATGTTTGCAATGCTCTGGGGTTATGTGATCACCATTTTCTCCTTTCCCAACCAGTTTCCGACAAGCAGTCAATGGGCGAAGCCAGATTCGTTTGACAATTGCATGATGTACTTAACAACTGCAGTGATTTGTTAACTGTCGCAAAAAAGGCTGATAAAATTGGGTGCAACTCATTTAACAACAGAAATTCTGGTCCTAATTGTACTTGTAAGTCAAGGAATACCTGCACAGTTTTTTTGAACAATATTTAGATTCTCATTTTAATAAGTGCATCTGAGAGGCAGATAATACTAATCTTAATTTTAAAATACTTAAATTTATTAAAACAGTATTCTTTATGACTGCAACACATAGGGTTTCATACAGTCATGATGTAGGTTTTACTGGATGCAATTAGTATATTCCATATTATGAAAATGTATTGTTGTACCTATCAATGTTGTGATACACTTTAGACACATTAAATATTTTTTTAACGTAAGAAGATAGTGAGTATTATGGATTTCTATAGAAAGTAGTAAAATAATTAAAATTTTATTTCTAGCTGTCTTCTAAAGTTGGCTTAACAAAACAAGTAAGTGTAGAGCAGTGAAGGGGCTAATGTTTTATGATAGTTGTATTTCAATATGAATTTGCTCCGAAATCAGAATCATTGGGACTGATATGTTATTAAGCTAAGAGGCAACACTAACTAGAATGAATATAAATCTAGATGTATCTGACTTCAGTGGGATTTATGGTACTTCCAAGTACACACGTGTGACATTGATCAGGTGATTTACTGATTGAATGGAAGATAATATTTTACAATAGTTCTGCAGAGCATTAACCTTCGGCCCACAAAGCATAAAATCACAGCACATTCCTTTCCTTAAGGCTATCGAAGCCAGTTTATATATCTCGTTTATATACAGCGAGAACTCAAGGTGAAGAGCTTTATCGGACCACACTCCCTCAGGTTTCAGCGGTGACAAAAGAGTGCCCTCACGTCGTCCCTAGTTGTGCAAAGTGACTTTTGCAATGGGAGAACGGGGAAAAAACCCTCCGCAACCTTAGGTGAACCCCCTCATCCAAAGCTTCGGCCGCTGTGGTATTACCACCAGGAAACACAGCGGCCTCCAGCGTTGAGTTCCAAGGCTGAGGAAGGCTTCGAGAGACTTCTGGAAGGCAAGGGAGCGCGAGGCTTGGGACGCATTACTAAAGGAAATGCCGGGGCGCTGGAGCCATTCAATTTATCCCCCGGACAGCAGCGCACATACATAAAAACAACCCACCTCACCCACCCCCCGCATCCCCGGCCTCTACTCGGAGCCCGTCCCGTCGAAAAAGGCCTTCCTCGTTTACCGCTATTTCCTCAGAGGCACCTCGCCCCCGAAGACGGGGGGCGCAAAGCTTTCCTCCTGCCCGGAGACTCCGATGCGGCACGGCCACCCCGCTGCCAGCCCCACCTGCCCACCTCCGAACGCGCGTGGCCACCCGGCCTCCTCCTCCTCCTGCCACCCGCACCTCGTTCACCCCCAACGTCCACATCGAAAAAGACTCGGGGGTTGTTCTGGTTGGACGGTTTCGAGAGCGGAGAAGCGTGAGACATGTCGGTGCCGGTTGCTACCGCTGAACCAAAACGCTACCCCCCCTTTTTTTCCCCCCCTTGCTGCTTCCCGGGCTCTGCCGCCCTGCCTTCAGCTGCGGGCTTCAGTCAACTGGCTCCGCCTTCCTCCCTGGAGAGAGGCGGGACATGCTACGGCCCTTTGCCCGCTCTTTTAGTTGAAAAAGGCAAGAATCGCTCTGTTGCCAGGCGGTTTTTTTCGGTTACTAGGTCTTCAGCGGTTATACATAGCAAACATTGCAGCTTCGGTTACTGACTGATTACAGGTCAAGTACATCGTGGTTTGCTTGCATCTGTGTTCCCACACGAAAGCTTTTGAGAATGTGGGGGGGGGGGGGTGTTTTCAAAGCCTCCCGGCTTCAGTGTCTTTGGCTAATTTTGGATTTCGTATTGGGTGTGTAGGAAGTTATCACCCAGCCCTCTCCCACAAAAATGAAATATCCTAGGAAATATTGAAAAGGCAGGATATTTCTCTGG